CGCCAAGGGTGTCGCGGGCTAAGCCTACAGGCCGCAGCGGCTACGGCGACAATCCTCCTCGGCCCGCAATTGGATCTGGGTGGCGGCGTTCTACTCCTGTCGAATCAAGGGCGGTGGCACGGGCTGACGGCAACCAGGGTCGGCGTGCTAGAGCCGGCGACGGCGAAATCTCCGTGACGGCGGCTAGGACGCCCGATCTGGGCCCAGATGGGCTTCAACGAGTCGCTCCACACGCTATCGCGCATCTCCGCTGATCCGGCTACGTCAAGCGGCGTCTAGGCTGGACCTGCAACACGAGGACGTCGGGGGCTCCGGACCTAAGCGCGGCGGTGGTGGCCATCTCCTCCGCCGAAGGTGGTCGGCCTGACGCTAGATGGGCAGATCTCGAGATCCGTCATCTAGCTTCGGTTGCGAGTCAGAAAGACATAGTTGCCGGTGAAAACCGAGCCGATGGCAGGCGATGGCAGCGTTATGCGTCGTTACCATGATGAAGGCATCGTCGTGTAACTGTTGTCGACCCACTCGTGCTGCTCCGGGGGAAACCCTAGGATTTGATTTTCCAGATCCGACGATGGCGGCACTGCGGTGTTGTTTCTCTCTTGGGAGTATCGTTTGTGGAGCGGCGCTGGAAGTCAGAGGTAGGAGGTGGAGCGACTTCGTCTTGCACGGAGCTTCGGTGGAGATGTCAAGTCATGCCTGGCCGACAGGTGCTACGATGTGTCATGCCTGGTCGGCAGGTGCTATGCTCGACAGATCTTTCAGTGACTTCAAGCTGTGTCGGCTGGTGATACTTGGCGGCATGGTGCTGAGGTGTACCGGCAGCGACCGCGGCGTGCTCAGCAGTTCGCGTGCAGGGAGGTGGTGCCGTTGGGCGCCATGGTGGCGTCGACGACAGCTAGACCGGGCAAGGATGATGTGTCAGTACAGCTCTGAAGATAGAGTGGTGGCAGTTGGCGGCGGTGGCCTCTGAGAGCGCGCTGGACCGGTGTGTGTCCCATACCCGACAAGTGGCTTGGTTGGGGTCTCAGGCCTTAGATGTTATGCTTGGTGGCGAGGTATGTGGTATTAGGCCCGGACTATCAGCATTCTTTCATCAACTGGATAGGAGTAGCGACAGATATTGTCTAGACGGTGGCTTCAGACTTACTATTGTATTTTTTGTAAGGTCTTTTATGAATAATTAATAAAGTTGTTGCATGCATCGACCAGATGCACAGGCCGGGGATCTTCCTCCTTTTCAAAAAAACAAATATGAAGAAAATATCTCTTTCTCGAACAATTGCGATAATCGTATAGTTGAAGAAACAAATTACCACGTGCATCATGATCTTAATCATGTCCGGGGCTCCCAGAATAAACCAAGCACGTGCAGTGCTGTAGGTTCACCTGCGTAAAAGAGAAGCCCTCTGTTCTTTCCTGGTTTTGGCGCGAACCACGGCCACCGTTCAGAAATTTCTATATTTGAACGAGCGCTCCTCGTGCTTCTCCAATCTCCCAACCCAAACAAGGCACGCCCGCTGTATAGAATTATAAGCTCGCGACGACACAATGGTCACAAAGGGAAGGGAGGGTGCACCATTCCATTCTCCACAAGATCGTAGGAAGGAAGAATGAGGAGCATCTTCTCTCTCACAATGGCGCCGCTCCTCCGCCCTGGCGCCCTCGCCGCGGCGCTACTCGCCCTCGCCGTGGTCGGGGTGGCGCAGGGCCAGCAGGTGGGACTCTTGAGGGTGCCGAACAGGTCCCCGCCCACCAAGGCAAACATGGACAGGGTGGTGCTCCCCGTGGACAATGCCGGGGGATTCGCCGGTTTGTGGAACATCCTGACCGAGAACGCGGGCGTGTCCGCGATGCACATGGCCGTGATGCGGCATGGCAAGGCCGTCATGTTCGACACGACCACGACGGGGCCGTCGCTCATGCAGCTGCCGGCAGGGAACTGCCGCGTCGACCCCCGGAGCGACCCGCCGGGCGGCATGGACTGCTCGGCGCACGCCGTGGAGTTCGACTACAACACTGGCGCGGTCCGGCCTCTCAAGGTTGGTTTGCTTGGCTGACTGTTCGCCGCGCCGATTTGCTTCTCGCGTGCACGCTGTTCATCGGGAGCGTGCCTGCAGATCTTAACTGATACGTGGTGCTCGTCGGGAGCGTTCGACGTGGACGGCATGCTGGTGCAAACGGGCGGCTACTTCGAAGGGGTGAAGGTTGTGAGACGCCTGAACCCACAAGGAAATGCCGACTGGGTCGAGTTCCCCAATACCTTGGCCGAAGGAAGATGGTACTCCTACGTACATAGTCTAGCTAGCTAATGAGTAGAGTCGTGCTTCATGATTTAGCTAGTTATATTAATCAACCAATTTTCATATGTGGAATTAAGTAATACGTACTAATTGACAGTAGTATAACAGATATGATCAAGAAGGAATTTACAACTGGTTTCTGCATGCATGAGCTCGCAGGTACGCAACGCAGCAGGTGCTCCCAGACGGCCGCTTCATCGTGGTCGGCGGGCGGCGATCGTTCAGCTACGAGTTCGTCCCGGCCGCCGGCCAGTTGAACACCCAATTCACTCCCCTCCCGCTTCTTCAACAAACGACCGATGACGTGGAGAACAACCTGTACCCCTTCGTCCACCTCCTCCCGGAGGGGACCATCTTCCTCTTCGCCAACGACCGCTCCATCATTTTCGACCCACAGAACGGGCAGGTCCTCCGCGAGCTCCCGAAGCTCAACGGCGGTGCACGGAACTACCCTGCCTCCGGCATGTCCGCTCTCCTTCCCCTCGACCTCCGCCGCGGCGAGAGGCTGAGCGCGGAGGTGATAGTCTGCGGCGGCGCCCCCAAGGAAGCCTTCAAGCTCGGCGAGGTCAACAAGTTCCCGCACGCGCTCCGGGACTGCGCGCGCATCAACCCGTCTAAGCCCGGGGCGCGGTGGGCGATCGACTTCATGCCAGTGGGCCGCGTGATGGGCGACATGCTCATACTGCCCACCGGAGACCTCCTGCTGCTCAACGGCGCGGCCCAGGGCTGCTCGGGGTGGGTTTTCGCCCGGGAACCGGTGCTGACCCCGCTTCTCTACTCTCCGCGGAAACGACGGGGCGCGCGGTTCCGCGCCCTGGCCGCGTCCAACATCCCACGCATGTACCACTCCAGCAGCGCGGTGCTGCCCGACGCCACCGTGCTCGTGGCCGGCGGCAACACCAACTCGGCCTACAACTTCTCTGGCGTCGACTTCCCGACGGAGGTGCGCGTCGAGCGGTTCAACCCGCCGTACCTCGCCCCGGAGCTTGCGGCCACCAGGCCGGAGATCGACATGGCGTCGGTCCCAGCGAACGGGGTGAAGTACGGGGACAAGCTCACACTCAGGTTCACGTCGCCCGGGCCAGCCGTGACCGACGCCGACATGAAGGTGACCATGTACGCGCCGCCGTTCACCACACACGGCTTCTCGCAGAACCAGCGGCTGCTGGTACTGCAGGTCACCGCGTTCAAGCCAGAAGGGAACAGGTACAAGATCACGGCCCAGACGCCGTCGAAGCCGACCCTCGCGCCGCCAGGCTACTACTTCGTGTTCGTTCTGGTCAAGGGGGTGCCGAGCAAAGCCGCTTGGGTGAAGATACACCCCTGATGAGCTGACTCTCCGGGTGCATGCATGCTGTTCCTCGGATGGCGACTGGCACGACGATATGCCATAGAGTAACAGCATGCCCGCGGCCCGCCAAGCAGAAGATTTCCATGGGGCGTAGGCAGTCCACACCGCCCATATGAATCTCATCTCTTCATGGTATATATGGTCTCTCCAAATGTACTTACTAGTGCACAAATATATATTTACACTAGAGACTTGGATCGAAAAGGTTAAGCGATCCAACCTGCAACTTTGTAGTGTGCTTAGTCTTGTAAAGCGGAAGAACGCAGAGTGAAATGTACGTGAAATCAATTCTTTCTGTTTTTGATTTCGTAACTCTTGTATTGGTTGTGGAGAGCAATATGAACAATTCTCCACTTATAGCAGACATGGTGTCACCAGCATTCAAGTTTCATTTGTTTCTTTACTATACTCAGATTTTCTTGCGCATATGCAGTACATAAACCCAAAACCTCAGAGATACTAGGCGGGGAATAAAAACACAACTTGACTTCTCCAACGAATGGAAACATTAATCAGGCACAGATTTTTAGGTCTTCGATTTGATTAGAAAAAACTATCTACTGTCTCCGTTTCAGTTTACAAGTTCTATGTATATATCTAGGTTGCCAATTTTATCACCTTAATATAAACTATATAACACAAAAGTTATCCGGTTTGAAAATAGAACATTTGAAGTTTATATTGGTATATTTTTTGTAATATATGACTTGTATTAGGTTGGTCAAATTGACGACCTAGGGGCACGCGCACGCCCTGCCGGGTCATCTCCGTCCGGAGGTAGTCGTCCCGCGCCCACCGCAGGGCGTCCTCGTCGGAGAAGCCGCGCCGGGCTATCTCCTCGTACTCCGCGGGGAGGCCGGGCTCCGGTTTGGGCTCGACAAGGACGAAGCGGCCGGTGGGGGGGGGGGGAGCGGAGTCACCAATGCGGACGCCGGAGCTGCGGATGTGCGCGCTGACAGGCGTGTCCTGGGGCTCCGGCTTGACGGGGCGGAGGCAGGGAGAGCCCGACGAGCGGCCGGACGAGGAGGAGGACGCCCCGGGCCGCTCCATGCGCCTCGGCGTTCAGGAGTTTCCACGGAGGCGTGAGAAGGACGGGTGAGCGGGGTACTCGAGGCGCGGCGTGTTGCCGCCCTCGATGTACTCGAGGACGGCCTCCAATGTGCAGCCGGGCACGCCCCACCACCGGCGCCGGCCATCAGAGTTGAGCCTGTCGGAGGGCACGACGCCGTTGGTGGCCTCGAGCTGCTCGGCGTGATGGCGGCGGAAGTAGGGCTCCCAGAGCGGGCTGTCGGGGACGTACCGTGGCCCCTCCCTCGCCGCCCGCGGCAGGGACGCGCGGATACGTGCGATCTCCGCACGCCGGGCTGCCCCGATGGGTGGTGGTGGCACCGGCACGCCGTCGGCACTGATCCTCCAAGCCCCGGGCACCCGCATATCCGGCGGGACCGGGTACTCGGCCTCGAAAAGGAGGCGAGCCTTGTCCTCGTGAAGATGGCGGCGTCCGAAGCCATTCGCCGCCGCGCCGTCGCCTGGAAAGCGCTCGGCCATTCTTATGAACTGGAGACGGCGAGAGGAGGAAGGGGGGAGAAATGGGTGCGTCGGCGGTGGAGTGTCTGTGCGTGCCTCCGGCGCGCTGGTGGTCGGCTTATATAGGCGGAGGCGCCGCGTGGTAGGCTTGGCCGGCACGTTACGCATGGCTTGATGGCGTGGCGGCCGAGGGGACGCGCGTCGCCCGGCCTTCACTGCGCCGCCCGTGAGGCATCAATGGAGGCTGACCGGCGTGGAAGCGCGCGCAGCTTTGGCATTGATTCGCCGCGGGAAACGAGGCGATGAGGACGATGAAGCGGCGAGAAGAGAGTCGAGTCGCTGACGCGGCTGGTCCGCGGCTCTTCGCGCCAAAAAAGATTTGTCCGGCGCCCCCGAGCGACCCCCAGCGCGCCGGGTTCGGGTTAGGTCCACCGGTACCAATTTCGGCCCGAGCCGGCGAAAACTGGGCCCTTAGAAGCGGGATGCCTGGGAGGTCTTCTTGGAGGCGTAGCTGGAGATGCTCTTATTTTTCACATTCCCCGTTCTGTGTTTTACTTTTATTATTATTTTCACAAATCCATGCATATTTTTAATATTACTTTTAAATTTATATTTCTTCATAAATCCAAGATTATTACAATAATTTTCTTTTAATATATATGAACATTACTTTTATTATACATAAAAAATTGTTTTGAAGTATAAGAATATTTATATTTTCATACCATGAACAAATTATGTGAATATAACAAATGTATCTTGTTTGATGGGCCATGGTAAACACTGTCCATCTAAAAAAGGTACTCCTGCAGAGCTGCATGGCCCATTAAACAACCTTAAATGCGTAATTTGCCCGTCATGGCACCATAATTTACAAAAATAAGCGTTGAATATATTGAAATATGTTGTGAACTTATTTTAAAATGCGTACTTTGCCGATAGCAAATTGAATAGATGTTACCATGGGATATGATATCCAATAGATTTTTATATGCGTGAACATGAATGTTTTTTTTCCGTCTTCCTAAACCGAATAAATTTTTAAAACCTGTCAAATAGAAAATTCCATAACAATTAGCTCAATATGGGGAATTGCCCAGACCTTTAGCTCCCACGTGTGGACATTAGAGCAACTCTAGCGGACCCCGCAAAATCGGCAAACTCGCAAAATTCCGGCGAGCATACATGCTCAGCCTAATTTTCTGGCCAAAACAGAGTCCGTATACTCGCCCAGCCCGTAAAAATATTTACCGCGGCCCGCAAAACGCCCACCCCGACCAGTATATCTACGTGTTTGTGTAACGTCCCAAAATTTTAAACTTTAGAATGTTATATTAATTAAGTAATATTGATTGCTTGTGGTGTGGTTGCTTGTGTGAAATTGAGTGAAATTTGAAACTTTTTGAAAGTTGAATGAGAGGGAATGAAATGACTTTCCCAAACTTTCACATTGCATTTATGATCTCCGTGAATTAAAATTCATTTCATCACAAAACCCTAGAGTGAATATGATATGACTTCTTCCATTTAAATATGAAAAGGGTTTTGAAAAGATTAAAATTCCACTTGGAACTATTTCAAATTCGGAAACTTTATGCAACTCAATGATTTTCATGAGAGAAGATAAAATGACTTCTTCAAATGCTAAGAAAGAGAATTTGAAGTTTCAAATAATGAAATTGAAAGTCCTTTGAAATTATTTTGAAAGCCACTTTCAATTTGGAGTTATCTGGTTCTTATTAAATTATTTTTGTCAAAAAATAAAATATATGGAAAATAGGGTAAAAATGATTCCCTACAATATAAAAATGGAGAGATATAAATTTGAAATTATTTTGGTATTTTAAAATATATTTTTTTGGTTTTTAAATGAGCCAGCAGCATTGTTTGTTTATTTAATTTTTTGTAAAATTTATTTGCCACTGAAAACATGGTCATGTTTTAGAAAATATTTTTTTGAAAATTTTGATATATAATATGTCTATATAAATTTTATTTTATTTTCGTTATTCAGTTTTTCTTTTTGTTTTTATATAAAAACTGTGTGTGCAGCTCATAATTATTTGTCACCCACATGTGCAGCATAGTAGACAGGCCGGCCCGTATTTTTATTTTTCTCTTTTTATTTTCGTCAAGGTTTACAATTATTTTTATTTTTTTTCTGAAAAAATAAAATTTCAGAAAAGAAAAATATTTTTAAAAAAACTGCCGCCCCGCGCGGCCGGCCCGAACTCTTAGCCCATGCGCATGACCTTTTTCAATTGCATCTGCGTATGTATATTTTTAGTCCCATATTGCCTAGCATTTAACTCCTAGGTCTCTTTTCCACCTATAAATATTAACTCGTATAGCCTTCAAAAATTATCCGATTCGAATTAAATCAATATTTTGGTTTCACTAGATTCAATAAATAAAATATATATTTCTTCTCTTCGGCGGGACTTCAGGAAGTTGTCTCTTCTCTTCAAACTCGTATTTTATCAATCTTATAAAGGTATATTTCTTCGTGTTTTTTATATACTTTCATAACTTATTATTTTTAGACTAGTGTAAGGTAGAATAATTAGATTATCAATTAGTTTATGTATTTATACATTAGACCTAAAAAAAATTAGTCGTGACTATTTTTCTTCCGTAAAACAGCTTATCCCTGATTTTTCAAATAGTCATAATTTTTTACTCGGTCATCCAAATTAGATAAAACCAACGCCTACCTAGTGAATCTATCAAATAAACTTTTTGCAACTTTCAAATTTCAAAATTTGTTCAGATTCATATTCAAACTTCTTTTGATCATATATTTTTACCCGTAGCTTCGTCTCCGATGAACCCAACTTCATCGGATTCGTATTGAAGTAATCTTTCCGATCGCACAATTAGTGTCATCTTTCCAACATATAATTTTGATCATAGTCAGATTACTCTGCTAGTCCACAAAGAGTTATCACACAACATTCTAAGTGAATTTAATGCTATGTTGAATTATTTCTATATTTTGATCCGTTATTTCCAATCTAGTAATTCTTCTTCCTACATGTTCCTATTGACTTCCTACATCTAGTAGCATCATTAGTTTCAACTTTGGAACCTTTCAAACTCTTCGAACCTTCATTTGATCATATCTTGTAAACGGCAGCACATTTTCAATTGATTCCTTATTGCAATTGAATCCCTAGACGTAATCTATCATCTTGAGCCATCACCACACTTTTTCACCGAAATTAGAATTTGATCTTGCAAAATAATTTGATTCGGTTCTTTTGGAGTTTTTACGATCTTCCTTTGCATTTTTTTGGGTCTTTGAGTGATTGTTTATGTGTGGTTATAATTGATTCCTTACGATAGATTGATCGAAGTGTGACGAGTAGAACTGGCAGGAATTATGAGTGCGAAGAATCTTCATCAACAGTACAAGGCAAGTTCACACTTTGATCATACTCTTCCTATAC